TGTGCACAAATTCTTTTAAATTCATGGACGTAGTCCACTCATGACCGTCCCTGAAAGGGACTACGGCTCCGCAGGTCGAAGGCGAATTTAAATAAAAACTTGGTCATTTTCTGGAGCGTATACCGTTTGGGTATACACCGAAACTTCTAATTCACATAATGCTTTTTTTCACGATTTTTTCTGCTTTTCTGTTTACCCTTGAAAATCGAGGTGTTTTCCTTAAAAAAGTAGCTGTGTTCACTAGGGGCCCTCTTACTACTGAAATGAGCATATTAAAAAATTAAATTATTCATAAGCTGCAAACAATATTTACATAAAATATGCTACAAAGAGTTGCCACAAATTAAGATTGTCCAAACTAGAGTACTAAAGCTTAATTTTACGATTACGATGTTTCTAATTATATTATAATCTGAGGCACTATCTTTGAACGAAGTCATAATTTAAATATTTCATTTTAAAAGACTTAATGAACTCAGATTCTCTTGGTTTTATAGATAGAAATTGTATAAAATTGTTTGCAGAACACAGTGTTTAATAAATGTATGTTGAATGTTGTGTCTGGTATACAAATAATTGGTTTGAATGTGCTTAGCCCAAAAAGTTTCCTTTTGAAACTAGTTTCTATTTTATGATAATTTCTGTCAATAGTAAAGTAATGTGCAACATTTGTAAAAGTAACTGCAATTTTAGTTGACTGTTGAGTAAGAAAAGATTGCTTGTGTAAATTAATTGTCGGCACAATTTAAATATTCAGAAGTTGGCAAACGGCTCCATAAATGTGTACGATCGTCGCAACTATAACTTCATAAAGTACTGTTCGTATAATGTTAAAATAATAAAAGCAGAAGTTAATGAATTATACATTGCTAATTGGTTTAGTCGAAGAGTGTGGTGAGACGCTTTGTGCTAGACGTGTGAGTCGCTCGTTAGTGTAAAAAAAACGTTAAATTGATAGCCGACTCCATTATTCGATAGTGGTTGTTAAAACCAAAAAAGCCTATAAAAAGGTCAGCAACTGAAGAGCCTTCTCTTGTGTTCTTGTTTTTGCCGTTATTCCTGATTTATTATTCATGTTGCGGTATATTTATGCATAAAAATGGGCAACAAAAATTGAAACTCTCGCGATTATGATATTAGAAACTTTTAAACTTTGTTCTGCAGACACTGCCTCTCCGGGAATTTAAATAAATTTTACATAAATTAGAAGCCTGTCCATTATAATAAACATGCACCTGAATTAAGAAGTCGCCATAAACGATTCGGACCCTCCACATTAAAATTCATAGTACTTAGTAGTAGATGGAACTGAATTAACGACTCCTTTTTAAGCTTTTATAAAACTTGACGGCTGACGCCTCTTCTTTACAGATTATTTATCTCATAAAAAAAATTAAAATCCCGACAATAAAACTTTCCAACTTTTAACTATAATTAAAATAAAAAAAGTACAAGTTCATGATTGAATCATTTGTCAAAATGGTGGATGCGCCGGGATAAGTTACCAAATTTGAGTTAATATACCAGGCGAGAGTTGAAGAGTAAATCCTAACTTTTTAACTATTTGCAAGTTTTCTTTTGGTGTCGGGGTAACCAACCTGTTAGCTTGTTTTAGTTTTCTTACAAGATCAGAAAAAAATGTTTATTGCAAGAAGCGAGGCCACACAGCAGGTGCACGAAATTTGATGAAAATGGGGTAAGCAATTGGGGCTTGTCTTAATTTATCTTTGTAGCTTTTTCGTCTCAAGATAAGTAGCTACTAAATTTTTTAGAAACGTCATAGGTAATAAAGTGAAAAATTAGATTACTCAATAAAAGTTTGTCGGAAAAAAAAATGTTTCTTATCGTCGCGATATAATTGCAGATAGGTAGTTGCAGTGTAACTTGTGTGAGCTATCCATGCATACATTGGCGGCACTCCAAGACGATAATATCAAAATTTACACGTGCAATGGTAGTTAGCCGTACCGGAAAAACGGTTCCGGGAGGCGATAGAGCAGAAATTAATTTGATGCGCACACGCGCCGTTTACAACACCGACAAATAATTTTTCAACGGAAACGCGCTTATAGCCAACGGTGAATTACCTAAGCGAGCACTGCCGAGCTTATTGGAAAAATAGGGAGAGGTAATAAGGACGAAGATGCGAGGATCCGAAGGCACAGAAATAAAACATGTGTCTGATGATATAAAGCCGGTAGATGTTAAAACGGAAGAATATCCGAAGCATGAAAAGAGTGGTGATTCCTTCTCACTCGTTTCGATATCGCTGAAAAACTTTATTGTTTGTGTTGTAAAAACTACGTCATGATCGTTTCGACGCATCCATTTAATGCAAAATTAAAAACCGTCAACATTAATATTTGGCTGAAAAGTCGCCGTATTTTATCGAGATGTATGCAGCGTTTCAAACGAATTCGAAAAAACTACACCTGAGGGAAAAGCAGATACGGCTAAAATCGGTCCGGCTTAGACTAATTACCATACAAACCGTATCACCTTAATTAAAGTTTCAAACGTTTACTTTATACTTTTATATATCACAAAAATATTTTTGACGAAAATAGAATCAAGTGATTTCATTCAATTTTCATCAAAAGACAATTCACTCGGTAAAATATAGGTCAAAACTATTCAGAAACCAGTTAAATGCACGGGAATAAAAACCTCGTGAAACAGATTTTATGGGTTGGGGCAAACAGTTGATATGTTTCAGCTTTCGTTAGAGAGAAAACTGTTTGAGTTCTTTGGTTATATGATAAATCCTGTTATGTACAGGTGGCTGACTTCATTCGCGCCATTGGGAACTAGCTTAGAGATGCAAAAGAATAAAAACGGGAAAACTATACATAAATTTATAAATAGTTAAAAATGCATTTTAAACCAATGCAGCATCAAAGGAATATTTTACTCCACAAGTTGCAACTTTTTTATTTTGACACATTTATACGTGAGCATGCTTTACTTTAATTAATTTACTAACCCACAGAAAAAGAAACGTTGCGGCAGAACGAAAATGTATCATGTTTAAAAATTTTATTGTGTTTGCAGTTGTAAATATATATTGTATTCGAAACTGAATATTCTCCAAAGGGCTTTTCAGGATACATCGTAAACAGCAAACAATACAGATATCCATTTCAAATGAAGAAGTTTTGGCTTTTAAATTTTGTTATTTATTTTACGCCAAAAATCGACTTAATTTTACACAAATATTATTGCAAAAATATTTATTATTTTTACGATTTAGCACTATACGAATCTTTTGTTAAAAATTTTGTTGGTCACAGTTTTAAAGAGTGTTCGAGACAAAAAGTAGGTGTTTGAAACTTTGCAGGAGAAAACCCGTATCGAGAGCTTGTATGATTAGGAACAAACGTATTTGTTACATTTATAAAATTCAGTTGAAAGTCGCAAACTTGTCATGGATGTATGTATGATGCGCAAAGTTCAACAAAGTTATAATAATACAGGCTGCGTACTATCTTCTGGAGAAGTTGGCCGGACTAAATCCGTGTCTTAGATAAGACCAACTTCACACCAGTTTGGCATCACTGCTAAGCTGCTGGATTATTCATAAGTTTAAGCTAGTTTGTAACTCACTTTCGCCGGTTGTGGAGCAAACCATCTCCCAGATTGGTAGGTAATCACTTGCTCATTACTTATCCGTTGGCGCATTTACATAGTCGAGACGCCCAAGACCTAGGAAAACGACAGCTTTCCTGCGTGTAGATACCCTTTTGAATTTAGGTTATGGAAATCACCGTCTCTTTTGTCACTAATTTATTTAATTCTATCAGGCGGAAAGGACCAGGATCGACTTAATTGCAACATCCGAAAGTTTTTTGCGGAGATTATTCCCATTTATTTACTCGGGAAAGCTCGCGCAAACGGAAAATTCATTGTTTAGGTGTAATACACTTGGGTTTCTATGACATTTGAATCGATAACATCCGGTTCTGCTTGCGAATTTAATTGGGACGGGCCACTCGTACGAAATCAAAGCAATTATTTGAAAGCGCACTACGAGCTGTTATTTGCAAAAAGACACTTTTTTTAGAAAACAATTTTTATTGCCCACAAAACGAACATTGTACTGAAAAAAAATTCAGAGTTGAGACAGAATGTTTTATATAGTCGCTTCCTCATCTAAAAGGACAAATATAAGACTGTTAACAAGTTGAACTACAATTCCAAGAACCTAATCAGCAGGATATAGCTGCTTAAGCAACCAGTAACAACATTTTAATGTTTTCAGAAAAACTTAAACGAGTGCTATAATAAACATTTACAGATTACTATTCTAGTAATTTGTAACTATCGCTCTTTTCGGTGAAGTAATTTCATCAGGTTGAGTGCATGTTAAAAAATACATTGCTGTAAAAATTTTCAGTCTTATTCCGGTAATAAAGTGACACTAATAAAAGAACCGACTCTGAGTTCAAATAGCTGCTTAGTAAATTAAAATGTTGAAAAACTGATTGAAGTGTGCGTCAAATAATGTAAATGTAATTAAAATATGGCTAATAGTAAAAGCCAAGTTTAGGGTTGAAAAAAAAGCACGCCATTAAAATTATTTTGCCCGGAAACTTCGAAAGCGACAAACGTCTCATAAAAATAGAATTGGAGTTGCGAGAGAAAAAAGTAGATTGATTCTACCACCAGGATTCGTAGACATTCTATATTTGTAGACCACAATATTGATGCTGCAAAACCATCAAGTTGTTAAATTTAAAAATATGGACTTTTTCAAAATTAATAAAGTTAATATTCGGTAAAAGCTAGATAAATACTTAAAAAAAAGTAATTTTCTGAGAGATAAAAATTACAACTCTTTTGAAATATGGTATTTACCTCTCTCGAAGATTGGACCAGTAACAGCCCCGACCCCCCGACCCTTATACCTGTAGATAACCTTTCGAAGAATTTGGCGGTCAGTATGGCAGCATTTAAGGTATTATTTAGGTTTCGAACTCAGTTCATATTTGCACATTGTCTGTGGTTGTTTGGGTACTTACAAAAATTATGATTTCGTCAAGTTCTAGTAATAGATACGGTTCAACCGTTTCGACAGATACATGGTCATCATGGGTAATTTTGGTTATAATTTTTTATCAGTAAAATCTAATTTTTATTTTAGTATTTCACCGATAACGGCATTGGAACGTCAATTGATAATGACACAAGCACTGAATATTCAAACCACGAAAATTTTGAAAGGCAAGTTTGTGATTTACAAATATTAAGACAAAAATTGCTCGAGGAAGAAAATAGGAAAAAAATGATTTTAAAAAAAGTTGATTGTGAAGGAAAGTTTAACCAAGAAAGAATAGAAGCTGAGAAAAATATTTTGTCATCCAGTACGTGAGTTTTAATTGATAAAAACGTAATATTTATTTAAATATTTTAGCACTTAAAACAAGACTTCTTTTGACAGCCTTTAAAGAAAAATACGAGTTGCAAAGAAAAACAAATTACTTTAACATTGGTTCGGTTTCTATTTCCGACATAAAACTGCATTACAACAAAACACAATATTCAAAAAAATTCAAACACTATTTTTTATGTACGTTGACTAGTGGTAGTAAATTATTTTTAAGTCAAATTGTACAAGCAGAGGCCGATGGTGTTGTAAATTTCAACATAAATCATACGTTTCTTAATTTACCGGTTGATTTTGAGATCGGAGTTAAAATCTATATTTTACGAGTTCGGAAAAAGGTACATAAACATGTTTTTATTTTTTACAGTATTGATATAATATTTACATTTTTAGACAATGAAAGATAAATTTCTATGTTGGTCAAAGAGCAGTGTTGATGAAGAAGAAAACAACGTTCGACGTGAATCATTGTTCAAATTTTGGAAAGATGCAACGGTTAAAATATCGAATGTTAATGAAACGAATGAAAAGTTCTTAGACTTGTTTAACTCAAAATTGTGTAAATTAGTGTTTGATGTAAAGGCTGAAGTCAACACTTCGGGTTTTTTGTATTCGGGATGGTTAGATGTAAGTCAGAATGGATTGTTTTGGAACCAGAGATGGTGTGTTTTGCAAGGAACTTTGTTGAAGTGTTTCAACTATCCAGTGGATCATAATTATCATAATCCAATTACTATAATCGATTTAAAATCTTGTGTTACTGTCAGAAATCCAGAAATTTATGAGGTTTCCAGAAATAGGGTTTTAGTTCTAGAAATGGACGACAAATCTCATCCTTTTGTTTATTATTTATCAACATATTCAATGCATGAATTCAATCAATGGAAATGTCTTGAAAAATTAGTGACGACATTACAACGTTGGACAAAGTATAATAGTGTAGTTATATAATTAATTGTAATTTCTATGTCTTAAGTAATTAAAATTACGTTGGTCGAATAATAATAGTTTAGTTAGTTGTATAATAAAAACTCAAGAAGTAAAATTTGTGTTTGGTTCTCATAAGAAATTGTTTTTTCGTGGTAACATAATTGGGGCATTTTATTTGTATATTATTTATACGATCCTGTTTAAGTTTAACAGCGTTATATTTTTAAAAATTGCAAATAACGACATCTCGTTCTCCATTTATGTAGGACCAGTCATAATAACTGATTGTTATGCGTTATTCGAAAGATGTATAAATCTTTTGTGGATTCATATTTTACTTTTGGCTTTATGTGTTAATTATAAAAGTCAATCGATTTGTAACTTTCAAATCGTTGAAAATTACCAAAAAATACAAGAACAATAATTTAACAAAATTTTCATTACACTACAAAATGTAAACGATATAGAACGTGCAGAATTATTTAGTTTCTAGCAAGACATTTTTATATTTACCTGGTTTAGGAAGTATTCGTTAAGGATAATCCTGTAATGAAGTTCCTGCTGTGTGTAAAATTCCTCAAATTATTGTAAACGACATTAATGAATTCTTAGAAACAAATAGCTAAAATTATTCATGTAAAATTTGAAATAATAATTCGTTTCAAAACATTGCTAAATAACTATGAGCGAAAATATAAGCAATGCAAAATTTTCAGCGGTAAAAAATGAGAATAAAGAAAACGTTAAATATTTTTATTGTATACGCTCCCCTATTTTGGGGACTCATTTGAGTCTTTTCGAGAATCAATAAAATAGTACGCAAAATGGTTATTTTAGGTACTCGGTCCCCAACAGTTTTTGCGGAATAAAAAATTAAATTGGATACTATGGTGGCGAAATTTTTTTTTATTAATAAGAGGTGTGAATTCGTGTTTTGGGAGCTTTAATAAAAAAATCGTGTATGCACCACGTACGCAAAAGGTTTTTTTAGGTGACTCCTCTCATTAAAGACTCGGCTCCTACGTCGCCTCGTCATTAATTACGATTCATCCCCTAAATCCCTATTTTGCGTAGGTACTTGATACATAAATAACTGTTTTAAAAGTCTGAATGTTTTTAAACAGATATTTTTTAAGGAGTTACTCTAGATAAATTTTGGAGGGAATAAGTTTTACAAATTTGTAGTTTGCTTCTGTCATATCATTAGTTATCTAACAACCTCTGTCGCCTTTACTATATTTTGAAAATGGGGGAAAATAGTAATTTAAATAATAGTTACTTTTTTGCTGAAGAATTTGAAGATTGCGAAAATTTGGTCAAAACTAATTCGAATTCTTTGGAGTATACTACAGATACCGACACAGAATCTGAAGTGTGTTGTGATGGAGATTGTAAAGAATGTCAATTTGACAGTTGGTATTTTTCTTATAGTTATTTTAAAGACGAATATTTGGTAAATTCTAAATAAATCGCTGAGTTAATCAATTTATAATTAATTATTATTCACAGAGTCAAGACTTGAGCGATATTGTAGATGAAAATGATGAGTTGGTTAGTGATAATGAAACTGAAGATGATAGTATTCCAGATTCGCAAAAAAAATCATAACTAGGTACTTAAATAAAAGAATGTTAAATTATTATTTGTAGTTTTATATAGTATAATTCTAATATACATTTGTTTAACTTTAAATATAGCCCTATGTTTAATTTGCAAAAATACAGATCAATGCATTGCTGTAACAAATAAAAATATAGCAAAAATTTTCCTGAAAACCGTATTTTACTTCTCCTCATGATTTTTTTTTTGAAAACGCTGCACATAGTTACGATTAAAAATAGAAAAAAAGTGTAAAGGACAAAGTTGTCGAGAATTAAATTTGCTTTAAAAAAGTCTGCGACACTATAACTGAAGGGGTTATTGCAAAAACGTGACAAAGACATCAAGACTTTAGACAAACACACAGTCACAAGTTTGGGTATTTTTCAAAAGATTTGTGGAGGTTACTGTTCTGAGTTACTGCATTTATCACAATACCTAGGCGTTATAGTATAAAAATATAAATTTCATAGATTTTTCTAGAACTCAAAGTACTATTTCTCAATAATTTAATGATGTGGCCTATCACGTTTTTACAATAAGCCTTTTAACTCTATCTTTAACGGTTTTAGCCAGACAGTCAAAAATGCTTTAGTGACGAAAATATTTTGCTTGTACTCGTGGTGGCATGTGTAAGAAGCTATTTAAACCCAAACCATTAAAGATGGTGTTGCAGACTTTTTTAAAGCAAATTTAATTCTCTACAACTTTACATTTACACTTTTTTTCTATCTTTAATCGTGTGCAGCGTTCTCAAATAAAGTTAAAAACATGAGGCGAAGCAAAAATTTCTGTTCAGTTCATTATTTTAAATTATAGTTTTCAGAAATTTTTTTGCCACATCCTCATTTCTTACTGTAAAGTAGGTATTTAATATTTTATCTAACATTTAACATTTTCCGTTTGTGTTGTCATCATCTTCATTTAAATCTAAGTAAAGTATCATTTTATTTTGTTGCTCTTAAATTATAGGCACGCTACTAAGATTATCATTAAATCGCAGCAATGCATTGGTCTGATTTTTTTTTTTAATTGAACATAGAACATACAATGTTCAAAATTAAAAAAAAATGTCCCTGTATATGTAAATACTACAGTGTTTTATATTTTATTCGATATTTGTCGTTGAAACTTGATCCGTTAAATTATGTTTTTAATAAATTACTTGCATTATTCATATCTTGTATGTGAATTATTTCTTTTTAAATTTACCACTCTGAGTCACTGATAAATGGTACTAAATATTTCACTGCAGTCATTCATTAATCTTGAATGTAATTACTCGTGACCAGTTTGCATGTGGAAAAACGAATCGGATTTATAAAAAAGTTTAACACATAACACCGACATTATTTTTATTATTACATTTGTCAAAATTACTTTTACAATTGATTTGGGAATATCTATTCAATCTCGTACCTTAATCAATCCTTCTCTTTATAAATGAAAGTTAACTCACTTACTTGTTAAATTTGGGATTTCAGCAAGAAATCCCCACTCAATCTTATTTCATGTTTGACAAGCAAATTTTTTATATAGGGTTATTCAAAAGGGTCGGGCAAACTCTCGAATGGTGATAAAAGTGAATGCAGATTTTGAAAAAAAAAAAAAACATAATTGTCAATTGCCATATTATTACGTAGGCATTTTAGCTCTTTTGTTTCAGATGTTGTCGGATTTAATTTCTTCTTGAATTTGCTAGTTTGTTAAATGTTTAGTACAACATATACCTAAGACAAAAATTGGTAATTTTTCCAATAGGTGTCTGTTTAATGTTGCAAGATCTGCCGTTTCCGCTAATTAAAGTGAAAAATACCATTATCTAAACGACCAAAAAGTTAACCCAATATCTAACTTTTTAAACAAGTTCTCATGAAAAAGGTACAAACAAATTTTTGTTATGGGAACTTTTAACTCAGTTGAAAAAACATTTTGCGCAGCTAGTCTCTCACCTAAGAATTTTATTACTTTATCTGTTGGGGGAAAATATTATAGGTACATTCTCTTATCTTTTTGGTAATTGAAAAAAAATGTTAGAAAAAAATTTATTCCAAAAAAATTGAAATTTTTTATGGGCAATTTTGTAAGAACAATTAGCGCAATTGCTCAAATTGCCAAGATGGCATTGACCAAGATGGGTGTAGACACGTTGCACGCTGATACGATTCATTTCTTGGTCAATTAGTCTCATTTTCAAACGGATTGTGTCTCTTAGTTCTTATAAGGCATTCGGTCAGTTAAAATTGACCTTTGACTTTAGGTAACCTCAAAGAAAAAGGTTTAGTGGGGTTAAATCAAGAGACCACGGTGGCCATTCAATCAGACCTCGACGACCTATTTACCATTCATTAAAAGTGTCATTTAAAAACGATCTCAAAATGTGCTAGCCCCCGACTTGCTGAAACCAATTTTTTTCAGCAGGAAAATCTTTATTTTCATTGTTCGAAAAAATAGCTGTTAAAGACGGCACTAAATCAAATCACAAAAAAACTAAAATATGTATCTTGTGGCCGTAAGATCTTATTCAAAAAATAAGGTCTCAATAAACGATCGCCAATTATTCCAACCCACACATTTAATTTGCTTTGTCGATGTGTATACCGATTTACAGTCCCATTAAAAAAATGTAGCATTATCAGCAAAAACAAGGTTCGGTTTGAAATTTGGGTTACGATCGCACAAAGTAATTAAGCATTCACAAAAATCTAAGTGCCAGTCTGGTATGTTCTCATTTAATTCGTGAATTAATTGGAACTGTATGTATAATACTTTTCTTTCTTGAATAAACGTAAACATATTATTCAAAGCCAGCTGCCTTGTCAAAAGATGCTAGTATTCCTCTCCTTTTAGTAGGAGAACATTTAATTCGGTTGCGTCGTTTTTACCAGGGCGGCTAGGTCGAGGGAGTTCAACTACACTGCCATTTTCGCCATATTTAGCCACAAATCTAGCGACCAAATTGCTTTTTTGCATCACTTGATTTCTGATAAGTTCTCATAGCCATAGCCTATCACTATCTCCAACTATTATCAATATTTCTATGCGTTCTCTTTTGCACGAGATTTAAAACAATACAAAACATGTTTGCACACTTATTAGAAATAATACGTATAGTATAATACATACACAGGGAGATTCACATAACTGTACAACCCTGACGAACTTTAAATACCACCAGTAATACGTTACTGAATTATAACTTGATTCAAAAACACTAATAATTATACACTTATTTGAGAGTAGCTGTTGCCCGCGGCTTCGCTCGCGTGGTAGTTTGACATCCATAACTATTTCAAAACGCAGAAGGGCTAAGAAACTTACTAACAAAATATAGCAACACATAATCCCTTATTTGACCCCCTTAGAGATAGAATTCTCCAAAATCTTGAAACACGTGCTATTTTGCTTTTTGAACATCCAAA